CTGCTGGGGGTGTAACCTGGCCACAGGAAGGGCTGGGACGTGGGAGGGGCTGGGAAGGAGGGGCCGGGATGGAGGGCTGCTGAAGACAAGGGTACCGAAGGGAAATGGGATGCAAAAACTCATGTAGGGGTTTGTGGGGCTGTCCGCTTGCTCACAGGCTTCTAGTTCTGAAAGATGCTCTGGGGTTGGTGAGATTTTGAAGGGCTTTTGGCACGCAAAGCAACCCTCTAGACTATATTTCGGGCACTTCAAACCGGCGTGGCTGCAATGTGAGACCACTTCATACGAACATTGTATTGTGAGGCGCCCGATGTGCTGAGTCCATGGTCATGACTATTACAGCTGGCCACATGCTTCATGCTCGTCCGGGAGCAGTGGGTGGGGATGCAGGACAGCCACCGGCCCTCTTCAACCTCAAATGGACGTGGGAGAAGCGCACAGGCTTGCAGGGAATGATTGGAATGCCCATGAAAAGCAGCTTGTTGCCGACGCAGCGATCTGCGGCAGGTCCACTGCATTTGCTTCCCTGCCTCCGCCTCTACCGCATCCTCCACTTTCGTAACTCGACAGGAAGTTCGACAAGGTGTACTCATCGTGTCGATTCGGATCCTGATGCATGCAAGGAGGAAACGTAAGGTTTCTTGTGAGCGACAAGTGCACACTGCCCCTCAAGAGCACAATTTGCCTTGACTCCATTGTGCTGCTCTTCGCAGTAGCTCCACCATGCCTGTCGTTGAGGGCATCTCTCGGGGTGCTGGCGCGGTTCGCGTGCGCAGACGAGTTGCAGAAAGCCTTGCAGGCCATGCAATTCTACTTCATCTGCTCAGACATGTCAGATTGAATTCAAACACCTGCCTATCTCTGCCTCACCACAAACAGCTTGAGACTTGCTGACATCCCTTCTGGGTTGAAATGCCGGTGTCGAGTGAAAATGCGCATGGCCTGCTTGGCATTCTCGTCCGTTCTCTGCAAGCTTTTGATTCGATCGACGAGCTCTGCCTCGTGCACAGCAACATTCGATCTCTGGGATCGACTCACGACTCGCAGGCCTGCCTTCTGCGCCATGACCCAAACAGCCCCGCAAAGAGCGGCCGGCTCCAATAGCAGCTTGAGCAAGCTTGGCCGGCTCGCTGCTTTCACATCTCGACATGAACATGCGAAAACTGAGCTTCGACTGGGGCCAGGAAGGGACCATGTCGGGTTAGACTTCAGCAACTGTATGTGCAGCACCGAGATAATCTGTTTTCTGACATCACGCCGAGCTCAAAGCCACCTCTTTATTCTCTTCGCTACCAAACTGCACAAACCGGAGTTTGAGCAGCCTTCAACAGCCAAATGATACGTACCTTTCACGGTTTCTATCCATCCTGTATTCATTGACTGTTGAACCGGTGAGACGCCGCTGTGATCCCGCTGATCGTGGTTTCGCGCAACACAGTGTAGGCTTTGCAATGGTGTCGTCCAATGTGTCTGCTTCGGAGAAGCCGAGCACAGTCGTAGTCGAGTTTTGCGAAGTAGTTACAAGTCGAAGCAGGGCTTCCATTTACAAAAACCCTTCGTGATTCGTGGCTTCACGAGAAGTCCTCCCTGCACAGTGAAAACTACTTCAAGCACAAGAGCCCATGAGAAACAACGGCTCAAACATGTTCAATCACGCCAGAATTGAGCTGGTCGATTGCCCCGCGAGAAAAAACTTGAGTAGAGAGTGTGAGTGTGTCCGGGCAAAAGAGCCATAAAGAAGCTGGTTTCTGAATGTTTCTGAGAGAGGTCCCCACTTGCTGGCTGTGTGCAACGAGGGCTGAGGCAGACATCACGCCACGATTCCGGTCACCAGCTTGAAAACTGGGAAGGCCGAGGCGTTCATTGTTTTGTTTTCGACCTCAGTTTAAGACTTAGTTTTGACATGCTGCCTTCCAAGGACGAAAGTTGCACTGATTTTGCTGTCGGGCTACCACTGGTCACTAGCTTGTGACCCGTTCAGGAAACCACTGGAAAGCAGCCTGCTTAGGAGGCTGAGCGCGAGAGCCGCAGCGGGGAAACAAGTCCTCGCTGAGGGGGATGACTGGCCCAGGAGCCCTACAGTGCACGAGAGACAGGGCAGGAAGCTCCATCATGCTGTAGTTAAGGAAGACGATACGACTATGCTGCCATGCCACGATAAACTGGCTCAGCCGCCGTGGCCGAGCATGACGAGAGCCACAAGGCAACATGCACAGTATCTTCTTTGTACAGTGCATCTGCCGACATTTCACTACATCCCGCTACTGTGCTCTGTGCGGGCCGCCCTGCTGAAACAGTCTAAGCATTTTAGGCTTAATATGCAAGGCGCGCACGATCGCACCCTTTAAACAGCCACTCCTAGTACGAGGTCCTGTGCATTGTCGAGCAGGCTGGCAGCACATGGCAACCGGTGACAAGCGAACCATCGGTTCACCAATGTCTCAAATGAAATTTGTCACGACTAACTTGTCATTGGCGCGAATCTGCTCGCGATCCTGCCCGGGGCTGGGAAGGTGCGCATCGCCAGCCAGCTTATGATGGGCGTGAAGCTGCATCAAGGTTCTGGAAAAGGACAGAAACTGTAATGAATGCAGCCTGTAGGCTCTGGAAACAAGCGTTGTCAGCCCTGGGAAAAACGGCCCAGTACCAAGATGCTGAGACAACAGCTAGGAGTCTGCCACAATGAAAGCGTTTCCACCTCACCTGGGGGCCGAGGAATCGGACTTGAGCACAGGCTTCGTTCACGTCCTTCTGCATGTCGGCCAACCTGTGTTGCAGTGTCTCGACTATACAGAACAGCTCCCGAATCTGCTCTAGCTGCCACTGACGTGAGCTGTCCGGTGGAGCCGCAAGCCGTATGAAGAAACCCAGCTGAGTTATCTCTGGCAAGGACAACGTGGTGAGGCGGAAGCCCCAAACCCATCCCGCCATTCGCTCGCCGGGCCACTGCTTCATAAACACGAAGAAGGGGGGTGCCGTCCATTCGTCCAGCGGTCCTGAATGCCGCGAGCCAGAACTTACGCATATCTGCGGCTTGCCTGTAGGAGCCACGAAAAAGATCAGTTTCGCATTTGGAATGCTGCCGGTTCTGAAGTCCTGTTCCTTGACATGCTTATGCAGCTGGCCAGCAAAACTATGACGGTCAGACAAAAGGTCACACCGACCTCCTAGCCTCCTACAAATACAACCATGGCTGAACAGCACGCCACAAGCATAGCACCCTGCTCGAGCCTCCCATTGGCATTGGCATGGCCCCTCCCAAAGGATTGGCTTTCTTCTGCTGGAACCTCGCAAGTTTACCATACGGCCGCATGCTAGCACCGGTAGCGCGTCAGCAGCAGCGGAGTTACAAACATCACACGACGAACCTTGTCGCATGCCAGAAAAGCCGCTGTCTTCCCGCACATTGGTCGTGGCTGGCACATGTCAGCTGCTTCCTCTGAGCGGCTTGTTGTATGCATGGCCCGCAGCCGCACCGGCAGCTGCGCCCATCAAGGCGGTGAGCTTGCAGTTCATACTGCAGAGCCTTAACGGAGGCTTTTGAATCTCGATTGGCACTATGGCACTATGGCTTGGCTGACCCGGTCTGCGTTTCTGGGTGGGGCTCGGATCACCCTTCAGCCAGAATGGGAGCGACTGTAAGATGGGTCAAAAGCGTCAAAATCAAAGCTCCAGCCCTACTCCCATCATTGTCATCCAGAACCCTTGAGCTGGACCTCAAGCCTCGAACCTCCGAGGCACATCCAAAGGCAGTCAAGCGTCTGCTTCTCGACTGTCTCAACCCTGCCAGACAGATCGTTTGCAGGCGACCCCTGCAAACTAACTTTCGGATTTCAGATCGTGCGGTCTCACGAAGCAGCATCACTCAGAGCCACTAGGTGGAGCATGATCGCGTCATGATGCAGCCGAGCATCTGCTTCTGCAGCTTCTTCAAGCTGTCTGCTTCGTTTTCTTCGTCTTTCGCGTCCTCCGGCTGATGTACGTGATACACCCAAAGATAACTCGAGGTGTGGCTCGGTGGGGCCATGTATCTGCGGTTCACACCGTTTGCTCAGAGCTCAACACCCGCGCTCGTCTCATTCACTGTTCAGGCATTCATGCTCTTTAACATCTTGGCTATGGGCTTGGCCGGCCCTACCATCCGTGGGTCCTTCTCATCCTTCTTCATGAACAAGCTGAGGGGGTTGATGGCACCCAACATGCCACCGATGGCACCTTTGAAGCGGGCGGAAACGCATCCTTTCCGGGTAGGACAGCAAAGACAGTATGTGCCGTCGCTCTTCTCAAACACTTCGATCTGGCTGCTTTGTCACGGCACACTACCTTCACTTCCGCGACAAGGATACGTTCTGCAACGTCGCTATGCTCGCCGACCCCCCCCCCTCCGGAAATGACGGGCCGTTATGTCAAGACTAGACACCGGTAATGCCCCCAGGGCAACGGGTCTGACAGAGGAGAAACGCAAGACCACCAGCTGCGGCGGCGCCTTTCATGGCACGGCTCAGCATTGCATGATAGAGATGATCATCTCAAGGCTCGGCCATGGACTCTCCAATACAGGAGGCCTCCTGCCACTGCCATGATCATGGAAGTGGGCTCCTGGCAGGATTCATCTTTCTGAAGCAGTCTCCCTGCATAAGGGAAGTGCAAGGCACCTGAACCTCGGTTGAGAGCCCTCCATGGCTGAAGCGGCTCTTGAAAATGGGCGGCATCGGCGTTGACGCTCTGACAAGCTAGTGAACCCGGAAAGAACCAAAGCTGACCCACCTATGTCAGGTGAGATGTCGCCCAAAGGCCAACAATTTACCAAAAGTCTCGCTGCGCTACTGATGACATGAAAATGAGTTGTTCCAAGTCCTGGGCATCAGCTTAACCCTTGAGCCTCGGCTGGAGCTTCCTAAGTCAGGCAGTGCGGCATTGGGCAAAGCAATGCTCCATCATGTCGAACGGTCACAGAAGCTTCGAAACGCCTCACGCGCCGTCAGCCACCTTACCTCCACTCAACCTGGCGTAGGCCTCCTACCTCCAACGCTCACACACCTGCAACCTCCAGTTGCACAACATGCGAAGTTGTTTTCGAAAATCGCTGCATGCTGAGGGGGCAAACGCTCCACGCCCGCAAACCTGGGTTGCTGGTGCTGCTGTAGAAGAACGGAATATAGCTGAGGGGCCTGTAAGCTAGTACTCAAGCTGCATCATCAAAGGGCACAGCGTTGGCACCCCTTATGCCCCCAGCTCCCAAGTGGATAAGCGTTGACCCTGCAACGTTGGCTGCACGAAGGCGTCCGGACCCTGCATTTCGGATCATTTGGGACCCTTCAAAGCACACTCACTCAAAAAGTTGAAAACAGCAGGGAAACAGAAACACTGAACACCCTCTGGCCGCCTGGGCCTTTCATGCGGCTGAGGAAGCTGGAGCTCATCCAGGATGCGAGGCATGGGCTGCCATCTGTGGGCCACCTCCTGAGCTCTGCTCCCCCCCGCCCCGGCGCCGGGTTGCGGCGGAACCTCAAAACGTAAAGTCAAATCTCGGAGATCCCAAGCCAAGCGGCACAGCAGCGAAGAGTGCTACCGACAGCGACAGCACTATTTGTTTGGCAAAGCTGGTCCAGAAGTCTGCCGGAAACCTGCGCTGGAATTCTGGAGTTCAATGCTGCCTATAGCTGCGGCTGCCTGCCTTCCAAAGCCCCAGTGGTTCACAGGCACGGCTGGTGCTGCTGCATGAGATCTCATCCGGCAGGACCTTCCCGGAGGAAAACGTCAGAGACATGTGTAAGCGACTGTTCTGCAAAGACCGGAGCATACACAACACTCAGAACTTGAGGATCTTTCTTGACAAGACTTCGAGATCTCACTTGGCCCTGGCTCCAGGAGACTGCAGCTTCACAGCTCGACGTGGGAATGAAGCACCCATGTATGCAAGACACACTTCCAGGCCTGGCTGAAGTGCATCTCAGCATAGCATAAAATGGCCAACCGCCACCTCTGGCCAGACCCGGGCTATCAATGGGGTTGGGAGATTGGCTCAACCGATAGGCTCTGAAGAACTCGGAAATATTGTCGGCGAAAACCCCCAAGCTGGAAACCATCCAGGACTTCGTCGACACACGGACCAAGTGACTTGTTGGCTGCTCCACAGGCACTGATCACGGAATTGAAGGCGACAGACGGTGGACGCAGCCTCTTCCAAAAAGCAGTATGGGGACATGCCTCTCCCGGCCTCTGCCTCTTTTACCAGGCAATTCCACTCGTGCTTCTGCTTCTGTAGATGGAGAGTTCATTGAGAGTAGCATAGTCGCTAGAATCTTGATGCTTCAATTTCAACTGCACGAGCTCCTTTGCAGCGACATCTCCGAAAGCAGCTTCCTGGCAGTGCGCCACTGGCTCTCCTGCAGCGGACAAGGTTGCGAGACTATACATGTCTCCTGGGCTGCTCTTGGGCAATCAAGGGTCAAGGGTGATGAACCTCTGGCTACCGCGAATAGGTCGCAACTCTGACATCCTTTTCACAAGCGCTGATGGTGCTGCAATAGCCTGCAAGCTGATCGGAGTGGCACGCTGCAGTCACAGCTAGACAGAGAATCTGCATCAACTGTGCAGTAGCTGCAACTGGCAAGGCTGCAGTAGTTCAGGTGACAAGTTGATGAGTTGTGTGTGCTAGGCAAAGCTGCGCTCTGCGTGCTCAGCGAAATGACCTTCAGCTCTTCTCGCTGCAGGAAAGCAACTGATCATGTCGGCGAGGACAGCGACCTCCAGAGGAAAAGTCATAGTCATAGCGCAACAGCTGCGCAAGGCATGGGTCACAGCTGTTGAAGACCTTTGATCGCACCGCCTAGACTTATACTACTGTATAGTATTGCAGTATTGCAGGGGAAACGATCCTTGTCTGCGTCTGCGTGCCACAACCTCCGCCACGAACTGTAGCAGAATATGCTTGGAACTGTAATGATACGTTGCCTGTTCCGTCCCATTGGCTCCAACCTTATGACCGAAGTGTCATGACCAGGATTTAGAAACAACACGACGTACAGACCCTGGACGCAGAGTACTAAGTCAATGCGACAGAAGGTGGGTGCTGCCTCGGCTAGCAAGAGCAGCAGCTGCAGGGCAAGCTGCCAGCGCCGGCCTTTCTCCTAGGCTATCGGTTCATGATGGGGTTATGAGACAGGATGATGGATGCACGAAGTAGTCAGGCAGGTGAAAGCCCAACATCCCTTCTCATCTCAACTTCGCATGCCGCGTTCACGAGCGTTGCTTTGGGGGCCACACCCGATTTTACTCGAGAGGAAACTGTACGTGCGCTGCAGGTGTTGTGGAGATGCTCCCATTACGACTCGGGATTCGGATCCTAATCTTTCTCGGGCTACATTTGCAAATTTGCGCCTTGTCTTGAAAAGAATGTTCACTAGACTTCCTAGTCCTTCTGGTCAGCCGTTGGACTTCGCGTCAATGCAACAAAGCCGTTGGACTTCGCGTCAATGCAACAAAGCCGTTGGACTTCGCGTCAATGCAACACAACGCAACAAAATAATCAAGTAGCTGCTGGCGAGAAGATTACTGTGCCGCTCCCGACTAATCAACCATGTGCTTGCCACGGGGCACAAGCGCTAATCACGCTGTTGAAGCTGATGACATCCGGCCTGCCGTGCCGACCCAAGGCCAAGGCCCGAGAGTGGTGGGCTCCCACATCCCCCGCCCTGCACGCAAGCGGCCTGATGCCCTGTCGGGGCATGTACGCCAGTAGCCAGGCAGCCAGTTCCCACATTTCCTTGTCAGAGCCGTCACAGCAATCGCTCGTCCACGTCGTTTCACTTTTGGAGCTATTCAAGAACGTGGGTGAAGCAGACATGTCGACCTGGCACCTGACATAGAGCTCCAGCTTCGTGGCAAGCAACTGGATCAGCGAGGCACACAAGCTTAATAGGCCCGAGCCCGAGTCCTTCTTCTCGCAAGCAGTGATGGCACTGTTGAAGCCTCGAGGAGAAAGGGCGGCAAGAAGGACAGGCTGTTCATGGCTGTTCTGTTCTCCAAGGAGCTGATCTCGTTGGCGCGAAGAGCCAGAGCTGACATGGAAAACAGCAGCGCCAGTGCTGGCTCCCACATGGAGGCCTACGGCCAGGAGGAGGATCTGCAAGGCAAACGTCTCCAAGCTTTATACTGCACCTCTATAGGCAAGGGAAGGTTACGTTGAGAAGTTAGTGAGCCTTGCCACATGCACTAATGGCGGCATTCCAGCAGACGTCATCGGGCCGCATGTTACGGCCCAGAAGCGTGTCGAGCAGCCTGACAGAGGCATCACGTGTCAGAGAAGGGGTCCGGTCGCCTCGCAACACTCGCTTATCTCTATCACCGATCTTGGCGAACCATGTCTCCAAGGCGCGTCAGCGCAGATTGCCACTCGCCCGCTTTCCTGGGTCTCCCAGCTCGGGCAAATCCGGGCAAACCCGTCAAGCACCGGCCGAGCGGCTCAGAGGCGCTAATCACTCCGCTGAAGCTGACAATGTCAGGTCGAGCCTGGTCCAGGGTCCAGCATTCACCAAGCCTACGAAGTAGCTGCGGAGCCATACAGCAGAGGGAAGGGTCTCAGCAAGTTCGGTGCAGATAGCTCGGTAGACCTGGAAGTCTGGAGATCTCTAGAATCGCCTGTCCACGCTACTTGCAGGGTGCTTGGGGTGTTTTCGCTTTCACGGCCTTGCAGGACCACATCTCCTCCAGGATTGCAAGGGCAGACTGCCATTGCGAGCTCTTCTCACAGGAGCTGATGGTGCAGTTGAAACCTCCAAGGAAGCCACAGGCTCAGACTCTGACTCTAAGACTCTGGGCTGCTCCGGGGTGCTGGCTAATCACGTCGGGCGCGACCTTTGCACGCCGCATATCCTGCAAGGCAACTCTTTCCGGATGCCCCACCGAAGGCAGCTTTCAGCCAATCCCGATGGTGTAAAGTGTAAACCACACAGGAAGGAGCAAACGCGTAGTTGCAAGCCGAATTCTGGCACAACACCCTGCGCAGCCGGTTGGGATGTAGCAGCTGCACCCAAGATTCCTAGAAAAAGCCAACTCCTCTTGCAGAACACTAAGTTCACAGGAACGCGACTGCTATCATTACCGGTTTTGGCCCTGTGAGGGAATCTTGTACCTTTGACAGACCCGTCTTCTTGCACACGGAGCAGGACAATGAGAGCAAACACAAAACAAAGTGTGTCTACCAAACAAGGTCAAGCCGGGAACCCGAAAACCCAGGCGAAAAGAAGACTGCCAGAATGGAAGTCCGCACGTTTTTTTCTCACGTCCCGCAATCTTCGAGCTGCGGCAGCGGCTGCGGTCGCCTCCTGAACACCCAGGCCCAAGCTCCGGCCGTCCCGCGCGCACCGCCCGCGCACCCGATATCGGGCTTCCCCCAAGCTCCGCGGCCGTCCCGCACGCACCGCCAGCGCACCCGATATCGCGCTTCCCCCATGCAAGCTCCGGCCGTCCCGCGCGCACCGCCCGCGCACCCGATATCGCGCTGTCCCCAAGCTCCGGCCGTCCCGCGCGCACCGCCCGCGCACCCGATATCGCGCTTCCCCCAAGCTCCGGCCGTCCCGCGCGCACCGCCCGCGCACCCGATATCGCGCTTCCCCCAAGCTCCGGCCGTCCCGCGCGCACCGCGCGCACCCGATATCGCGCTTCCCCCAAGCTCCGGCCGTCCCGCGCATATCGCGCTTCCCCCAAGCCGGCCGTCCCGCGCGCACCGTCCGCGCACCGATATCGCGCTTCCCCCAAGCTCCGGCCGTCCCGCGCGCACCGCCCGCGCACCCGATATCGCGCTTCCCCCAAGCTCCGGCCGTCCCGCGCGCACCGTCCGCGCACCCGATATCGCGCTTCCCCCAAGCTCCTCCCCCAAGCTCCGGCCGTCTCGCGCGCACCGCCCGCGCACCCGATAGCTTCCCCCAAGCTCCGGCCGTCCCACGCGCACCGTCCGCGCACTCGATAGCGCGCTTCCCCCAAGCTCCGGCCGTCCCGCGCGCACCGCCCAACCCTTCCCCGCGCAGCCTCCAAGCCTTAACCCTCCGCCGCGCAGCCAGCCGCCAAGCCTTGCCCTCCCCGCACGCAGTCGTTAAGTCTTGCCCTCCCCCATGCACACACCATCCGCACCTTGTCCCCGCCCTCCCGGCCCTCCACCGCGTACCGTCCGCGCACCCGATCCGCGCACCCGACATCAAGGCCCGTGCACCGCTTAGTCTTCTAAAGCTCTTCCGTCAAAACAGGGCCCGATATCGCGCACCTCGCGTTGGAGCACTAAACGAGAACCCAACCCCAGAGGGGTTTTCGGGAAAAATGTTGAGTCGGTGCCGTCTCATGTCCGTCCTTGCATGCACCGTAAATTTCTGTGCCTTTAAAGGTCCTACCTGTTCTTGCTGCCCCTATCTGCCCATGCTTGTTCTGGTTTCCCCAATGCCGATTTAGCTTGTGCAAAGCGTTCTTCGTCCTGTGCAGCTTGGCAGTACGACTGGCACCGTACCGTCGATGTCTCTATGACTCTATAAAAACCTACGACATAAACTTCCCCGCTCAACAAGTTCAACTGGAATGGTGACACACATGTTGCTTGGCAGAAGAAGCACCGTTCTGACAGACGCGATTGCTCTCCAATCAGCTACAAAGCTGCAAAGACAACTTGCACACTCATCTCAAGATCTATCGGAACCGGAACACAACTCGGAGTTCATTACTTGCAAGACTCAGACTGAGCCGAAGAACGCATGTACATCCCCTCACAGTATGATGAGCTGCAACGCCCTGGGACGAAAAGCACGCCCTCCCCTCCCCCCCCCTCGTGTCCGAAAAAAGCTCAAGCGCCGTCTGCCATTCTCTGGACTTCTCCAGCGCGCTGATTACGCTGCTGAAGGACACCCTAAGCTGGCGACCCGACCCCCAAGGTCTTCCAAGCTGCTTGGCCCATGGTTTCGTCCAGATGTCCAAGGCACACATCCGGGGCCACTTGGTGGTCAGGAAACTCTGACAACAGCGCCAGAGCAGCTTGCCATTGAGCTGCTTTCCTAAGGTGCACTCCGGAAATCTTGCTGATGTTGCGTGCTTCGCATGGAGTAACTCTGACATCGGCACGAGTGATGCTGGCTCACTCATTGTGATCTGAAGCTCGCAGCAGCATCCACCGCGCTGTTCATCATGATAGCCTGAGTTCGTAGGACTTACCTGCCTGGACTCAACTTGCATCCGTTGACTGCCGCCCTTCGATTGGGGCCTCGGGACATTCGGCAGCACAGCGCCTGCTGACATCCCACCAAGCAAGTGCAGCCCGAGGACCCAGCACCTTCGGCTCTTCTATTCGGCTCGACGCGAGTGGAGCGACAAGTCTTGCAACCAGCCGGTCATCGTGATGTCTCCCCAACTTCTTATTTTGTGTTCGACATCGGGTAAAAGTCTTTTTTTTGCAGTGGCCGCGGGCGTGGCCGCGGGCCCACGGCGCTCCCGACCTGGTTGTCGTCAGAGCAGCAGCAGCAGCAGAGCAGTAGCAGAGCAGTAGCAGTTGTAGCAGGAGAAGCAGCAGTAGCCGTGGTAGCACTGTAGCAGCAGTTCGCCACAAAACCCTCATTATACCCTAGAAGGAGTGGGTGGGTGCGAAACCATGAACCCGGTAAAAGGATTGGGTGGGTGCGAAACCCCAAACTCTATGTAGAAGCAGTGGGTGGGCGCGAAGCGTTGAACTCTCAAACGAGTGAGTGGCTGCGAAACCTCAAACCCGTGCGAAACCCTGAACCCTATAAGAAGTGGGTGGCTGCGAAACCGCAAGCCTTAAGACGCATGGGTGGGCGCGAAACTCTGAACCCCGACAGGGGTGAGTGGCTACGAAACTCTCAAACCCTGAAAGGAGTGGGTGGGTGCGAAGCTGCGAAACCCTGAACTCTCCACGGAGCGAGTGGCTACGAAACCCTCGAGATACCCTAAAAGGCGTGGGTTTGTGCAAAACCTCAAAACCCTGAAAGGAGTGGGTTTGTGCCAAACCTCAAACCCTAAAAGGAGTGGGTGGGTGCGAAACCCTGAACCCTAAAAGGAGTGGGTGGGTGCGAAACCCTTAAACCCTAAATGGAGTGAGAGGCTACGAAACCCTCATACCCTGAAAAGGAGTGGATGCGTGCGAAAACCCCATACCATACCCTAAAAGGAGTGGGTGGGTGCGAAACCCTGAACTTAAAGGAGTAGGTGTTTGCGAAACCTTGAAGCCGAAAAGAGTGGGTGGCTGCGAAAACCCAAGCCCTAAAGCCCTAGAAGGAATGGGTTGACCGCAGGTCACGGCCATGCTCGCGGGCCGCGGACCGCGGAGCGTCGCCACGGGCCGCCGTGTACAGCCACGTGAACGCGGCCACGTGACCGCGAGCCGCCGCGTGGCCACGCGGGCTGCGCACGTAAATAATACTATTATGTCGACATCGGGTGACAGCGAAGGTGAATCACGCAGCATGCTTCAAGCGTCTGAAACCACTATCGTGAATTTCAAGTTACTTTGGGCGTCAAGCTAAATTGATGAGAGATCCGCAGGGAAAGCAATAGCTCTGAGGTGTATTTCTGCACCGCACCCGTCTTGAACGCCGGCATCCACCACGCTGCTGAAACCTGGGCGATTGAGCTTGGGGCGCACTTGAATGCTCTAAGCTGGGCATCTTGCTGCAAAGCATGACAAGCAAAGCATCCCAACTGAAGTGTTCATCGTCATAAAATCGTTCAGACATTGCAAGCCAATCGTACTCAGTTGGTGCATGGCCTTTGCCGTCTCACTCGTGAATAGCAAGACAAACGCGAGAAATCTGCCGCGCAGGCTTTACAGTTCCCAAACCCATGTTGCGTTCCACCAGCCAGAAAACTGATGATGTCTGGGACTAGCCCACGCTGCTGCATCTCTGCATTCAGATGAAGGGCAACCTTCCATCGTTGCACTAACTACCACGTTCTTCCTCAATAACAGCGAAAGATTTGTGAATTGCTTCGTGGAGGCGTAATCACATGGACTCGCCAGACGGGCAGCAACTGAACCTCAATATCCATATCAAACAAGCTTGCACTACGTCGCGTTATTGTCCGGCCTGCCACCCTGCACTGGCGCTGCAGGAACTGATTGTGCTGTTGAAACCTCATTCGATCGATCCGCAACTGATTCCGTTCCCGACAAATCTACCTACTGGGCTGCGACATGCTCAAGCCCAACTCTCAATGTGCTCAAGAGCACCACACTCAGTGCCGTCCCCTCCGAAGGCCTCAGCCCCCCAGCATCCAAGAAGCTGATCACATCAGGCGTGTCTGCTTCCGCTAACCTTGCCAGTCGTGCTGGGACAAAAAATGTTGCAGTCGATCGTGGGAGTGCGGCTCTGCATCCAAGCATTGATGCAAAGTGTCCAAACTTGCAGAACTTGATCCAAGTCAAAGCCTGTGGCACGAATTTGGCAGGCTTCTCGGCTTATCAGAGTCCCCGCAAACAATTCGTGCCACAGAAACAGCCGAAGCGCAAGCTGCCATAACCCAACTCCCACGGAGCTGCGGATGGCAGTGTTGTACGTGATCCTCAGGCTCAGAAATTCATCAGCTTGCGAGCAGCAGCAGCAGCAGCAGCAGCAGCAAAGCAAGCAGCAAAGCAAGCAGCGTATGAAGATGGAAAGGACGATGCCAAAGCTCTGTGTGGCCGAGGTGCACATTCGGTAGGATGCTGTGATCTCGCATGCCTGTAGAAGCGCCAAGGATGAAAGAACACTAGAAATCTAAAAGCTACAGCGGCTATGGCCTGCCTTGGAGGAGCGACGAGGCAAGTTGCCACTGTTCAGAGCGGGCACATGCTGTCAGGGTGCCTCGAGCTGTGTTGCTTCTCGGCAGAAGGGTTCCAGCACAAGGAAGACTTCCCTTGCGCTTCGTACTGTCGAGGAATAGTCGTCGTGCTACACACAAGGACCACAAGGAAGTCTAAACTGTGCAGAAGGATTTGCCTCCCGCCAAAGACCTGCCCAGGAGCTGTTGTATGAGATCGCGTTGGGTCGCAAGAAGCAGCTTGGCATATCGGCCAGCAGAGTCACGGCATCGCGCCACCGCCTGCCTGACGACACGGCAGTCTGTGGAGACGCAGACAGGAGAGTGGAAGACCTTGTGCAAGTGAAGCAATTTCACGGGTGCACTCGATGACGGCCGATAGCTCTTTCCTTGGATTTGCGAAGCGCTGACTGGGATTCCGCAACTGAGGTTGCACTCTCGTAGTCCTGAGCTCTTTTCTAGGATTGTAGGCCTACCCAGCAATGACGAAGCACGAACAATCACATCTCAAGCTTCTGCCCACGGTAGCCACGATGCTTCTGCATGCAACCTCACTGTGCACAAAACAAGCTCAGGCTTGGGCCTGCTCGGCCCAGCCTGCAAGAAATCCGTTTCCCAAAGTGCAGGCACCTTGCAGGCATCTACTGCAAACATCGCTGCAGCATTACTTTTCCGACATGCCTGCACGGCCGGACACATGGCGGAAGGCACAAGAACATCCTACAGTGCCCTACAGCTCTGGCGGACAAGTGCAGTCACTGCCTTGTGCTTGCATGCGGTACTTTACTGCATCATCTGCACAAACCGTCATGCAAACTGAGCCAATGAATGGAGGATCTAGAGTCTTCATTGACATTGACATGAAATGCAGCTCTCGAGTGAGACAAAAGCCCAGACGTCTTTGGTCACAGTCCGGTGTTGGCTTGGTGGCATGGGCAAGGCCGAAAATACGCGGTCAAGAGTATGCAGTAGCCTAAGTGCGCAGTGTCCACAGCGAAAGAGCCTCCAGCCAAGAGTACTGGCGAGTCTGAGATCTCTAAAATATCGAAGTCGCCGCAACCACGACTGCGGAGTGGGAGTCGAGTGATCTTCATTTTGGTCCAATCAACGGCGAGACGGACGCTTGGCGGGCAAGTTTAAACTTTGGAACTTGTGATCCCTGTGCCACCCTGAACGATTCAGGCGAAGTCTTGGAATGGCTGTGCACACCACCAAAGATCAGCTCAAACAATCCTTGTCCCTGCAACCTACCATGCCCTGCTTGACTGAGACTGTACACTATAGCCTTCCTCATGTGCACCAAATTCGTCGAGGCCAGCGGCCTGAGGCAAGAAGGATCTGCAACAGCCTGTATGACCAGCTTTGCAAACAAAAAGCCACGGGCACTTAGCTCATGCTCAGCTAAACATGCATTGAAGGTCGTAAAAAGAGGCGGTGGGAGGTTCGGGGTGGGGCAACCAGGGAGCGCCAGGGGAGCACGTGCACAGAGGCACACTCACGTAGTCTCAAATGAAGCTTTCTGGGGCACATCCTGCAGACGCCAGTGATGGCCATAACTCGGTCTGCTCGCCATTTGTTCTTTGCCTTCATGGTGCGCCTTCGGCGCATGAAGCTGCTTGGCTGGCAGATGCATGAAGGGCGCAAGTGATACTTTGCATCGCCGGCATGCTCCTTCACCTCTACCTACAAGCCAATAACCCAATAAAATTAAAATCGTTGTTGATTCCCGTGCATCTTGACGGAAAAATACTGTGCGTCGCATAAGACCCAAAGTTCTACCTGCAAACCTGATTCACCAGGTGTTGCTCACTTCGATCGTGCGAGATCAAGTCCTCAGCCACGCTGAGACATCTGAGACACTCTGCACACTTTGCAGCAGACTAGTCAATTCCTCATCTCAGCGCCGAGTGTCATTCTGCATGAGGAACCCTGAAACCCGGTGAACGAAGGATGGGCAGGTGTGGTTCAGCTCGTGCATGCTGACCCTGACAGCATTCAGTCCAGCTGACTGCAGAGGCAAGGGAGAAGACCGAAACTCATCTCTAGCTTGGCATTTGGATATTGCTACACTGGCGACACAACACTATACTGCTCACCTGCTCACACGGTCACAGAAAGGCTGCTGCTCGGAGCCAACAACTGCGCCCGCAGCCGTCGGATCGGTCGGCCTCAACACAGGAACGTGCATCTTCTCCATCTGCTTCAGATCTCGCTCGATGAGCCTGAAATTGCACTGAGAAAGCACCCGCATGTTGTGCACATTGGGATTCTGGAAGGCTGGGCACTGTGATTCGAGACTGGGCGTCAAGATGCCCACTATCAGAACCGCACCGGAGTCTTTCGCTGGCTAGCCACCCTAAGCTAAGCACGGCATAGCACACTTCACTCTGTGATCGTTGGTCTGTTGAGCTACGACAAAGAGAGTCCTTGACCCCAGAACCAGCTCCGTATTCGATCCGCAATCGCGTTGCATCGTGAAGAGTCTTTTCAGACAGCCCCGACCTCATGCTGAACCTAGTGCCTAGTGCAGATGCCTTTGAAAGCCGCGCTGGCTGTTCTTTGACTCCGCCAAGCCGTGCCTTGCATGAGACAACCAGTTGGCTCGTTTATTGCAAACTTGCATTGAGTCTACACAGTTGGAGGGAAAGATAGACAGGATTTCCAACGAGGGCCGCGATTCTTGAACAGCCATGGAAATCTGCGGAACATCGATTCTGCACGATCTGTCTGGTCCTGAGCGCACTTGCAGGGAGCTGATGATTGCATCCACTGAACATGCACACCAATCGTCGTCCCAAACGGGAAGTTCAGGGAGGTGCAGCACATGCAATGAGAAGACTTGCAGGACTTCGTCGTCCCGTCATGCTCAGCACTTAACAATAAGGTGTAGCTGCTCAAGTGGCTGCTGTCAGACGACCACAACAGCCGAGACAGGGCGCGCGCTCGTACTTGATCACCGCTTTCCTCGAGACGCCAGCTTCTCGTAGCATCTGATAGAGCCTGCGCTGGGCGACGAGGCTGTACTGCCGAAGCTTGATGTGTCTCCCGCACCGATCGGTCGCTGAGCCTGCCTTTAAGACATGGCGATGCGAACTCACGACGGGCAAGCACGCAGGGCAACTATGCCTGTCTCCTACACCCTGCATCTACCTGCGGAGACGTGACTCACAAAGAAACGAACCCTGTCTCGCTCAAGGTGCTTCGTAAGGTCGTAGATCTTGTCGGCGGGCTGTCTTTCCTCAAACCCCGTCGGAAAGCCTCAGGTGAAGAAGCAGCTTTTTGCGACGGGCGTTTGCCAGGGTCTACAGGTCTTCAAGCAGAAACAGGCCACACAGAATAGCCTGTGGCAGCCAGGGCGCTGTATTCTTGCTGCAGCAAGGTGTTCTGCCTGTAGGTTTGCAGGGCCCTCTTGAAGCCGCGCAGGTCCTGCGCCTCAGGAGGAAACAAAGGAAGAAGAGAGTCTGAGAGTCTGAAGAGAAGAAGAGAAGCCGAAGGCGCTCCCAGCCCTTGCAAAGCGGCCCTTCGAAGCCGCGACGCCGAGTGCAACAAGCACTATTAAGCAGAAGTCTTGCGTTCGAGGCTCGAGGAACGCCGTCAGGAGTTGGCCTCCACACACGCGGAGCGCTGTGATCCCGAGAACCTCCTTAAGAATTTATCTGAAGTCGTTTGGCACTTCCTCCCTTCCTCCCTTCTGCCTGTCTCCTCCCCGTTGAACATGAAGACCTGGCTCTCGTTCGTCTCCTGGGTTCCGTTCATGACCGCGAAGGAGTGCGCCCTGTGCTCGCTGATCCTCAACTTCTTCGGCCAAGTCATCTGGACAATTGGGACCGTTCATGCCAGTCCCACCGAGCGACCTCATCTGATCGTCATGTCCACCGGCGATGCCTTGTAACAGACCGCCAAGATTCACAGACTCTGTGGCGTTCTTTCAGGGCTTCAAGACCAACCCGGGAAGGAGGGTGCTGTGAGTAAATTCGGTTGCGATTTGTGTGATTGCTCTTTAGAGCCATTTGCACCTGCGCGAAAGCTCTTGTGGCCCCACCCTTTGAGGCGCGAAACGAACAGTACGCCGCATTCGCCTTTGCACACCAATTGCTGGTCCCGTCACCGAGGATCTGATGAATAGCAGGTGTCAGCGAATGATGCCCAGATCCTCGCACCAAGTGAACACGGCCATACTCAGACGAACCAGGACTTCTGTCCCTCAAGCATCTGGTTCCAATAGCTAAGATGTCGGACAGTCGACAGTTATCACAGTTGACTACTGAGCTGCTGTCGCACGTGCGCTGAATTTCAAGGTCTACAAGAACAATGCCCTTCTCGCAGTTGCGTCACATGACGAAGTTCGGCAGACCACCCTGAAACCTGATCAGGCCTCAGGCCGAGGCCCAGCCAAGTTACAACTATCCGAGCTCGCTCGCAAGTCCTTCATTGCCGATCAGGGACAGGAATCGAATGCTAGTTGCCTGACATCCACGCAGCAGGGGCTCGGTCATTGCAACTTTGAAAGGCACTTGTCAATAAGGGGTGGGAGTCTTGCACTGGAGACATTCTGCTTACACGGCCTACAATTCAACTTGCCTGCTGCAAGTAGCTCTTCATCAGCATATCAAAACAAGTTACGAAGGTAATGTCGTTCCATCATTATGCCTGTGTGCAGGCAAGGCCCAGCCTTCATCCATAACATACGAACCAGACTATTTTCGTGAAACTGGTTGGCACGAGCAACAGGGCTTGCGGACAAGGCAAGGCACGTGTTGACGCGAGTGTGTGGCGCGGGCTCCTCGCAGGGTCAGCTGACAAAGCTTTCCAGACCCCGCCCCCATGCGGGTCAGGACAGTTCTCATGTGCATGAGATCTATGCAAAGCCTTCTTTGTGAATCAGTGCGCAGCTGGGCCCGCAAGCCAGGAAAACCGCCAAAGAGAGCAGCTTCGACATGGTCTACGAAGTGACACACAGGATATGTAGTAGTATATAGATACAGTTCGCTGTCAGATCTCGAGCCCAAAATGGTCAGAGCAACATGCCACACATATCCTCACACTCTCCGTGCTTATTCGCGCACGTGCCAAAAGCATTCCACAGGTGCTCCTCATGGCAGTCAGATCATGACATGAACCGCACACTCACAGGCGTGGCCTCAATTGGATCAAGAGAAGATCCCCGAAGAGACATGCAACCTCGCAGTCCGGAACACTCGGAAGACGCAGCTGCACTGCTGTGGCACAGGTGCCGGTGCAACGATACTTCTGGCTCAAGAAAACAACTCAGCGGTCCGAGTGATCTCGCAGGACAGACACTCAGATCTGTTTGACACAAATACCCAGTACGTGTACAGTTGGCGCCTTGGTATGCCCTTCTCCGGGTCTGTTGCCATGTGTCGGCCCTGGCTGGGCTGCTGAGTTCACAAAGGCTCCGAATCAGCTCTCTGGCCTGCCGTTGATGGGGGGGAGTCACTGCCCTGCTGGCCACGTCCCAAGCGAGGATGTTCCTTGGCGCAGACGGCTTCGAGCTGCATTGAGCCAAGCCCACACAGCAACTCAGCTCTTACAAATTTGGTCCCAACGGTAACTGCGCCACATGAGGTCGCAGCCCATGACCGTTTCGGTTACGGTATGAGAAGACCTCTCTCTGCTGATCCGCCTGAAGAGCGTGAGAAAATGTCACATTCTGAGCTAAGCAGGTCTGTTGAGTTTATGCTTGCAGGTGCATGCCAAGGTCATAACACACAGCATGAAGGGTAGGAAAGATTACGCGAAACCGTTACACTTACCCAGCTGACCTCTTGACTCGCGATGCATTTGGCCAGCCTCGCTTGTTATGCTTTGCGCAGCAGAGATGACACCTGCGCCCGAGCTGGTTTTGCTCACGCTTGCGGCCCTTGCATGTGTCTTTCCCCGGAGATTGTTGACGGAAGCAGTCCGGAACGCAGGGGAGCAACTATCGAACAAGATATCACCGTTCAACTATCTGATTGGGTGAAACAGTATCGAACAACCGTCGCACTCTGCCCGACGTTGAACCAAACTGAGCACTGCGACGAATCAGGACTTCTTTTTCGTCGTGTGGTAGCAGCGCTGTAGCACGCCGTTCGGCGAATCAACAGGCTGAAACGACGAGTCGGTGCCGGGGCGCATTCTGCACCCGGCCCGCTGTCGTTCGCCCTCCGCCGAAACGCGAAGATAACACTGGGCGGTGAGGGTGGGTAAAACTTTGAACTCGTCGAGCCAGAGTGCTAGCGACGGCCGTCGTTAACGGTTGTTACTGCACACACACGTGTGTTTCACAACAACCGTCGCACTCTGCCCGACGTTGAACCAAACTGAGCACTGCGACGAATCAGGACTTCTTTTTCGTCGTGTGGTAGCAGCGCTGTAGCACGCCGTTCGGCGAATCAACAGGCTGAAACGACGAGTCGGTGCCGGGGCGCATTCTGCACCCGCCGTGCGCACCGACTCTCCACCACGCGCCGGCTCAGACGTGGAAGCCGTTGGCCAGCTGAAGGAGGTCGTCCGCCGCCTCCGTCGTGGCATATTCAAGGTCCTGCGCCGATCGGGCGAAGATGGATAGTATCTCGTCGGTCGGCGTGGAGACTCTGTGCCATCCCTCGGCCGTCGCCCTGCTGAAGTCGTCTCTGGAGACTGCGTCGGCGACGTTGGCCTTGGAGGGAACTCGCTCAAACTCGACGAACCACCCCTGGTGCGCCGCAAGCGTCCAGAAGGCCGAAATCATGCCGTTCACCGCGGCGTCTTTCCCGTATCCCTTCGTAAGGGCTGCCTGTCCGGCGGTGTTGTCGATGAAGGCTATAATGGCCGGCGGCAGACGGGCGCCGAAGGTGACGAAGGCGACGAGCTGGGCCAGCACTTCGAGCATGTAGATGTATGCCTTCCTCGTCGAGAAGAGCTTGACAAACCATTCCGGCGCGACGCCGTGGTCGAAGAAGACCTGGTCGCCGATGCGCAGCACGTATCCCCATCCATTCGCCGCCTTCTTCGTCGGCCGTACCCCTTGGGGCACGTGGCCGGCCTTGTGCCTGGTCTCCCCGTCGGTGAAGAAGGCGTCGGCGTACAGGATCGCGACCTCCATCTCCTTGGCGTCGAACGGAATGAACCTGGGTCTGATCGTCGGCAAGATCCTGGCCAAGGATCGTAGGGCCGCCGAGAGACCGTCGGACAGGGAGTCCGCCGTCCATGCCGCTGTGTCGGCCGCTCGGGCGTAGATCGCTTTCGTCGCTGCCTTTGCGACGGATCCGAAGGCCGCTTGTGTCAGGAAGGACACTCTTCCGGCGAGCTTGGCGGCCTCGGCGGGTGACAGTGTATCCTGGTCGAGCGCCCGTCGGATCTGTTCCATGATCTTGTCTACCCGAATCGTCGTCGGTTTGAGGGTGACTCCCCGTGCGTCGACCTGGAACTGCACGCCCTGAACGATGTGGTTCTTCGCCGGGTGTTGTGCCTTCGACGCCTTGGTGAGGAAGCCCAGCGCCGAGAAGAGGTCCTGGAACGATACCATCGCCGACTCGCCGAGGAGGGCGTCGTCGAGGCCGTTAAAGTCGTCCACGTAGTGACCCGTCGCCAGCAGCAGCAGTCCCCTGAGTAGCTGCTGAAGTGCGTCGGCTCCCCTGTTAAAGTTCCAGACCGACGCCGTAGCGCCGAAATTCATGGCCAGGTGGTACCAAAAGGTCACGCCGTGCTTGGTCGAGAGGAAGGTGCCGCACTCCGCCGGTCGTCGAACTGGCCACTGGCGGTATGCGTTGAGCAGGTCGTTGCCAAAGACCACGACGTCGGGGGTGTCTTGAACCATGCGTCGTGCCAGGTCGACGAAGCTGCCGATGAAGTGGTGTGTCGGCACGTCGTCCACCGAGACCGTGGCGTTGTGCCCGCTGCGACGCCAGTCCTCGGCACGTCGCACCTTTAGGTCGCCTTTCTCGTCGGTCTGGCAAACTGGGAAGGACCCTGCCAGGAAGTGTTCGCCGGGCGGCGGTTCGACCAGGGAGTCCACCTCGATCTGGTCGGGCACCGCCGTGGCCTTGGTGTGCAGCCATGTCGGCGCTGTCGTTGGGCCGATGACTCTGCCCAGCTTCTTCTCGGCGATGAGCTCCTGGAGCAGCTGATCGGCGAATTCACCGCCGTCGTGCTGGGAGACCTTGCGGCGGACGTACTCTGCGTTGGTCCGGCGGAAGGTGTCCATGTCCGTCGGGTGCTGGTAGCGTCCGTCGTCCCTTTTCCTCCATCCTGGTCCTGGTCGGATGTCGCCGATCATCTGGAAGCCCTCCGTCATGTCGTGTTCGAGGGCGTCGATGTCGGGGTAGTCGACGAGGCGGAGCAGCTGTATAGGAAGACGAGCACCTGCGTCGGGGCCGGCTTATCCGGCGTCGAGTACGTAGCTCTGACCCACGACGATCTGGCAGCCAGCCACTCCCTGGTCTCGTCGGCTGTGTCCTCGATCATGGTGCGGACCTCGTCGACGACTTCCCTTCGGATCCTGACCAGGTCGTGTCGCCAAGTTCGACGAATAACCAGGAGTCGTTCCCACGACGGTTCCAACGGGGCGTCGTCTGCCAGCGGGTGTGATATCGACCATGATGCGTCCCAGTGCGCCTGCTCGTCGAGGTCCTGGATGTACGCCACACCTGTCCGCGGCGGAGCTGGCGCCATGATCGGACCGCCTGGTCCCCACAACGAAGCCACCCACTGCAACGTCGATCGGCTAGGTGATCTTGGCACTGGGGTCGCCGTCGTCGGTGCCGTGGCTGTGAAGACCAACAGCGCCAAAAGAAGACGTCGTGCGACTCCCCAGTGCCAGCCGTTACCGATGAGGCGATGTCGAGTGCGGTCGTCGAGTGCTCCGGCGGTGGATCTCGCCGTGTAGTCGACCGGCATGTGGTGAAGCTGCTCTTTCACCTTCGGCGGCAGCAGATGTAGTCGACCTTGGTCGTCGGTCATCATGGCGTCTCTGGCGTAGTGCCACGGCGCGAATTGCCGTCCGCCGGTGAGCCACCGCTGGTGGGTGTCCGACGTGATCTTTCCTCTCGTCGACCTTGGTGCGGCTCTGCCTCCCTCGTCGGCTGCTGGTGTCGTCGCACATGGCAGCCTGACCCTGCCACTGGCGACGGAGTCCGAGAACTTGAGGCCGTCGAGGTCGAAGTCGTCGGCTGCTGCCCTGGGAGAGTCCAGCCGCAGCCTGTTCCAGCGACGGTGTAGAGCCCATGTCCAATGTTCTCCCGTCGAGGGGTCGCGAGGCAGCTCCTCCCAGTCGATCGTCGACCACCAGAGGCGGGACCTACCGATCCATCCGAAGTCGGCGGCGTCGGAGAGGATGGGCTCGCACTCCAGTGCCTTGGTGGCCGCCGCCGCGTCTGCCTGCGTCATCTCGACGTTTTCGACCAATTTCCCAAGCCGTCGAGGTGCTATCAGCGGCGTCAGCTCGGCGACGTACTCAGCCGTAAAGTTGAAGAGGTAGCCTCTATCACCGCCGTGACCCGCTCTGTCGCCGATCCTGGAGAAATCTTGGCACGGCGGGGCGGCGAGAAACAGGATGATGCATTGGGCGTCGGGGTCGACCGCCTCGATGTCCTTGGCCAGGTCCTTCGGCGTGTCCTCCGTGATGTCGCCGCGGTGCCGGACGTCGGGGATGTGGTAGTCGATGACCTGGATCGCCGCTCGGTCCACCTCCCATGAGAAGACCGCTCTAGGCTGGCCCACCAGGTCCCACACCAGCCACGGGCCCGCGCCGACGCCGTCGAAAGCGGACAGCACGATCACCTCGTCGCCTTTAGGTCGCCGGCCTGCGAGCTTCACCTTCTTGGTCGGTGGGTCGGGTACCCCGTCGTCAGCGGGGGCGTTCGACGGGGCCCCGTGCTGTCCCTAGCGGCGGTTGCCGCGGCCTTGGCCATTGCCGCGCCACGGGCGTTGGCCTTCTGGCTGGCTGGACTGTCCGCCGTTGCCGCCGTGCCACCACTGTTGGTTCCTCCCGTCGGTCTTCTGCTGCCACCAGCCGGCGTTGGTGTCCTGCTCGTTCTTCTTGCCGCCGCCCTGTGATTGATCTTTGCCGCCGCGTCCGCGCCCTCGGCCCCGGCCCCCTTGGCGCCGTCGTTTGCGGCCACCGCGACCGCCGCCTCCGGTCCATGCCTGCTGGTCGTCGGCGTCCTCTTCCTGGCCGTTGGGGGCGTCGGTGCGGTCGGTGATCTCCTTCTCGGTTCTCTTGGTCGGGTGCGGCGTGGACAGGAGGATCTCCTGCCAAGTGGCCACGTCGTCCATGATCTCCTTGGTGGCCTCGCCGAAGGACCGGTTGTTCCTGAGTGCCATCGCCAGGTTCCACGACGTCCGCTGCCAGTATGCCTGGAGGGCTGCGACGTGGTTGGACTTATCCCTGGCGCGGGCGACGAACCAGTCGACATATGTCATGACGTCGGTCTCCTCGCCGATGCCCAGCAGGATCCATGCCCACCGGGCGGCGTTGGCTCCGTCGATGGTGGAGAAGAGGCCTTTGGGCACCCATTCCGTCGGCTCCGCCTCCGTCAGGACGCCCTGCTCCAATTTCAATGTCTTGGAGCTTGCCGACGACGTCGCCCTGGCGAGCGCCAGGGGATTAAGGGTCCGGCCCGCCGTCCAGGTGCGTCGGGACACGATCTCGCCGAGGGTAACCGGCGTATACATCTTGGAGGTGGTGTGCTCGAACCACATCCTGGCCAGCACCTCCTCGGCGCCAAGAAGCTCATGTGCTGGGAAGGTCCGCCGTTTCCCGTCGAGGCGCCGTTCCTCGTAGATGTTGATCTGCTGGTTCCACGCCGAGAAGGTCTTGGGAGGCTTGTCAGGAATAGCCGGCGTGGCCGTCGTTGGCGGCGCCGCCGCCGGCGCAGGTAAGGCCGCCGGGGCTGGAACCGGCGACGCTGAAGCGGCCTTCCATTGGCGTGTGGCCTCGACGAACAAGTGGGTCATGACCGCCGTGGCAACATCGTCCTGCCCATCCTCCACCTTGTGATCGGTGCCGTCGATGCGGATGCCGGTGATGTACGGGTGGATGATGTGCGTCGTGAACCTCTCGACGTCCTTGGCGATCAGGGCCAATGTGGGCGTCGTGGTGATCTTTCGGGCCGTGATGTAGTTCTTGATGCTGTCGTTGGCGCCGGCCGCGGCGAGGAGGTCGTCCAGCTGCACCATTGAGGCCGCGACCGTCGGGAGTGCCATGGCAACCAACACCTACGGCGTCCCAAGTCGGTTTCCGTGCTCGATAGAAAAGGGCTACGGGTGAGACATCCGTCGTTAAGTTCCGGGCGCGAGCCCTCGACGGTGATTTGATCTGGGCTGTGTGTGGTTTTCCTGGGTCGTCGTCCAGTTGGTGCCAGAGCCGTCGGGGCCGCACACGGCTATTGCCGGCGACCCCTCGGCGGAAAATGGTGACGGCGATCCGTCGGTCAAGTCCGGCGTCGCTCAGTCGGAGTCCGACGTCGCTCCGCTAGTGGAGGACGAGGAACTCGACGACGAGTCGATCGCCTCCGGTGCCTCAACATCGACGGTTTCCGTCGGGAAGCACTTGCGGCATAAGGCCGGATCCGGCGGCAGCTCGGACAGGCGAAAGAACTGTCGCACGCCGTAAGGCCAGCCGCACTTGGCCTGCCAATCCGACCTTTCTGTCGACGCTTCGTCGACCCCCGGCGTGTGCACCATCTTGGTGCGGCAGTTCATGACATACCGGGGCGCCGAGTCGCCGATCGCGTCGGCTACCGGCATCCTGGCGGGTTCTGGCACGAACTCCACGCCGGGCACCTCAGCCGCGAAGTCGACGTTGGGCACCATCTGCTGCGAGGCCGGCACCCCCGTATCGGCGTGCCCTGCTGAGTTCCCCGTCGGTAACAAGTCCAGGAGGGCCGGCGGCGTCGGTGTCGCCAGGTGCTGGGCCGGCGTTGTTGTCGACGAGCTCGGCGCTGCCAAGGCCTGGGCTGGGACGCCCGCTGCCACGGCGAGGGGTGCCTGTTGGACATACCGTTCGACGGCGGTGGAGGCCCATCGGCCGAGCAGCTGGATCACGGCGACCGGGACCCCCCTCATCGCCATGAAGGTCGCACCTGCCACTCTGGCGGCGTGGCCGCCGAAGATCAAGCGGCGCTTGCCTTGTTCGTCGAGGTACACCGTCTCAAATCCGGCGGCGTCCAGCACTAGCCGAAACATCTCTGCCGACTCCGCCTTGGATCTCTGCACCGTCGGTCTAGTCGGAAACAGGAAGTCGGCCGGCGTCGCGGCTGCTGAGGCCTGTACCCGCCGAAGATGGCGGTGTGCGGCGCATCTTGGGCAGAGTGGGTGGGCCGTCGAAGTGCAAACGCACCTGAAAGTGCGTCGTGTGAGGTCGGCCTGCCCCCCCTGCGCCGTTTTGTGCAGGGGTATGTCGAGGGACACCGTCGACAATGTCACGCCGAGGTCTCTGACCCTGGCCGCCGCGAGCTCCACCTCCCTCAGCATAAACCAAGTAGCGACGATGACAACATCGACGGCGTGAGCCACCAGGCCGGCGTTGAAGGGCCCGAATGGCGCCGTGTCGTCGACCAACTTGCTGAGCTCGTCGAGGTCGAATGCCTGTTTGAGCCTGGACCCTGGCAGGCCCCTCGCCGCTGCCTTGGTCAGGGTTTTGACCACACGTCGAAGTCCAGGCGTGACCGGCGTGTGGAGGGTGTTCTCCTGGTGCCACACCACAGCGTCGAGGTACAGCCCGGTCGATCTGTAGCCGGCGATCCGCATCGCCCCGGCGATGGTGTGAAGCTTGTTGGCGTCGAGCGGGAAGAGGGGGAACTGACCTCTGTCGGCCAGGGCGCTCACCGTCCTCACTCGCGACTCCATGGCCCGTCGGGTCGACGATGCCAGCAGATTGGCGTCGATGGCTGCCAGTGTGTCTTGGCGTCGCCCGGGGTCCATAGCCTCCAAGGCCGCCGTCAAGGATGCCCGGGGTAGGGTCCTTCTTTGCGGCACGTCGTGCCTGGGTGGCCTGGCCGCCGTTGGTTCCGGCTGCGTCGGCGGCACCGGCGCCAGGATCTGCAGCAAGAGGCCCTCTGGCACGCCGTTCTCCAAAAGGACGGCGAAGGAGTCCCTCACTGCCGGCGTGTTGATCGCGCCGAACCTGGCCAATGTCGCAATGTAGGCCGAGCCGCCTGCCGAGGCGACGTCGCGAAAGAAGTCGGCGACAGTCGCGGAGGGTCCCGACGACGCGACTTGTTGGTTCATGACCGGCGTCCTGGGTCGAGGAGTGCAGGGGGCTAGTGCTAGTCGGCGTCTCGAGCCAGAGCAGAAAAGGCTGCGGCGGAAGCAGAAAAGGCAACGGCGACGACCGAGAGCGAACGAAGAGAGAGAGAGAAGCCGACAGCGGCGGCAGGCGCGACGGACGAGGCAACAGGTGCACGGCACTCTTTTTGTCGGGTGCGTCGGGCTCCGCCAAAAGGCACCGTGCGGCGTGACCGCCGAGATTAAGCAACTCTGGCAACGACGAGAACGTCGAAAAGAAAATAAGTAATACAGGGCGGCGGTGGGCTCTGATCCTGCCCCCGCCGCCGTCGACTGCCTCAGCGGTGCCGACCCGATGGCCGGAGCCGGGTGACAGGGGCACCCGCTGGCGTCGTGAAATCTCAGTCCTGTGCGCCGACCATGCCATGGCATGCGGCGCACTCGTGACCAATATGGTCACGGCCGTTGCCCTCGACGACGGGACGCAGGCAGCGGCCTAGGCCCGGCGAGTCCACGTCGTAAAGGTCTTCAAAATGAGGGCATTGCGGCGACGTGCAAGGGTGCGAGCACCAACCAAGCACACGTCGGCCGGCCTCCTGGCTTTGCCAGGGGATCCGGGCGCCGCGCGTGTTGGCGGGTAGCGTCGAGCAGAACCAGTATGCACAGTAGGTGGGCGCCGAGGTCGGCGGGGGCTTGGGCTTGTGCCCGTCGATGCCCTGCTTGTCCAGGTTCTCCTCGGCGATCACGTCGTTCAGGGTCCGCCTGAGCAAGTGCTTGACTGACTTCGGCGGGTCGTCGACGGCGCGAGCGCCCCGGCGATGCATAGCCCGCTTATGCTGCCGATAGTCGTCGGTCATGTTGATCTCGATTTGGCGGATCCTTTCGTCGCTCAGGTGCTCGCGGAACCCCGCCGCCGTCTTGGACCTTGAGCGTGCCCCCGTCGGTGTCGTCGTCCTGGTGGTGGTCGAAGGCCCGGCGTCCATGGAGGAGCCGGCGGGGTCGTCTGCTGGCCTTGCGCCCGGCGGGAACATCCAGTCCGGGCGCTCTGCCGCCACCGCCGGGGGGGTCGGCGCTCTCGTTGTAGATGCCCTCGGACTCGGCGGTGTGGACTGCCATGGCGTAGAAGCCGCCGAGAGCGGCGGGAAGCTGGACCTGGATGGCGGTGCGTCGACCACTGGGGGAGGCGGCGGCGGGTCCATGGTCGGCCGCCCTCCTCGTTGCGTCGACCGCCCCCTGGCTGCCGAGGTCTGGCTCCCGGCCGTCGAGTGGGCGTCGTCATCCTGTCGGGGACCCACCTGCCGAAGCAGCGACGCGGCGATGTTGATGACTTCCTCGGCGCCCCCCCCGCCGACAGTCGAAGCCGGCGTCTGGATGCCAGTGGCGTCGACAGGACGTCGTGCCCCCTCTGGCGGGGCCCTCACCCGATGACCAGCCGCGTCGATGTAGTATGCCGGCGTGGCCGTGCCAGAAGGCATCGTCGACTGGGCTTCCATTGCGGCGAGACCCGGGAACCCCGTTATGGTCGGCGACGCCGTGGTCTCAGGCTCCCTCGCTTCCGTCGGGTCCAAGAAGGCCGCCGCAGTCCTGGTAGCCGACGATGTAGGGGCGTCGAGGAAGACTGTGCCCGACACCTGGTCGTCGTCCCTTGCCGCTGTGGGCTGCGGCGGCTGCCAGCTCACCTGGTGTGCCCACGCCGTGGGCGGCGCCCCGACGCTCTGCTGCAGGATAGTCGCCGCCGATGAGCTCCCGGGACCCGTCGGTGGAGGCGGCGTGGTTGATGCCATCGGCGATGTCCTGGGACCCGTCGAACTGGGCGTCATAGATCCAAGTCCCGGCGTTGCAGAGGTGGTCGGCGGCGGCCTTGGAGCTGCCTTCACAATCACCGGCGTCCCCTCCGTCGTGGCCCTCTGCGGGAACAGCCTCCCCATGTAGACCCGGCGTTCCTCGTCGGTGGGTGGGGAAGTCGGTGGAACCACAGCCGTCACGGCGAGGAGCTCGGCGAGTGAGGTCCGGTCCTCCATGTCCAGGCTCGCCGCCAGTTCCGCCCATGCGCCGAATCCACCGTCGCGTCCCTTCCGAAGGACGTTGCGAAGCTCTCGGACTGCGACGTGGACACCAGCTTCCGGCGCAGCCGTCGTCAAAGGCCGCTGCGGCGGCGCCTTCCTAGGCATCTGCTGTGCCGAAGACGAGGCTGCCACTGGAGTAGTCGACATGGCGTCGAGAGTGATCAGAAAGCTAAAACTTTGAACTCGTCGAGCCAGAGTGCTAGCGACGGCCGTCGTTAACGGTTGTTACTGCACACACACGTGTGTTTCACAACAACACTACCTCCTTGACCTACTGTAGACCCTTGCGACACCCCACCTCAACTTGGGGAAGCAACCGAGGATTGGTGGCGAGTCAGCTGCCCAGCAGACACGATGATCCTGATTGTCGATTGCTTCCCGAGGCTGGAGCTGACAGAATCTGGATCCGGTCGAGAGTGAGGCCTCAGTCGAACATGCGCTACAGGCTCGCAGTGAGAGACTCGTTCATTGCTGCATAGCCCATGCCCACGGCCCATGAGGCATTAACCGATTCAGAGGATTCATGATCTTTCGGCCAAAGATGTCAACCTCGCAGCTGTCCAAAGTCGACTTTCTTGCCGCTGCCTTCAACTGTCTGCTCAGCCGGATGCTTGACGCATCCTGTTAAAAAGCACAAGGGCCTGTTGCTCCGGCGAGGAAGGACCAGGGCTTGCAGCTGCATGTCCCTCACGGCCCTGACAAAATTTCGCTGTCGCCTAGCCTTGGCTACTCACATCTACTCACTGGGGCGCACATTCCAACTGCAACCACTACGAACCCCAAGCAACGATGCAGCAGAAAGCTGGAGCCGTCCGCAGGCCTCCTGTTGAGCGATCGACTCTTCAGGCAGGCGGCCTGGCGGTAGAGGCACAGACACGGAGTGAAACCCTAAACGTGAGCTTAGTGGGCTGGGCCTCGACTGGGGTCACAGACTGACTAAACTACCTAAACTTCCTAAATCCTAAACTCCCCGACTTGCACTCGCCCTCGTTAGCTTGCTTAGGCCAAGCCCAGGCCAGGAATGCCAAGTGTCCGTGGAGGGCCATTTGGCCTCAGTCTCGCATGCTGGTCCACGGCAAAGAGCAAAGAGGGGCATTCATGAAGGAGCCCTCCAACCCAGGCTTACGACTCACTGGTACTACAGGCCACATGTCGCAACAATGTCGTGGGCAGGTCGACAGTTCCTTTCTTTGCAACAGAACTGGGCATATCACTGCACTGTTACATGCGAAAGCTATGGATTAAACTGCCGTTGCGGCAATCAGAGGATTCCAGAAACGGTTCCCTGCAACCCAAGGTCGAGCCGTGCGCAAGAAATCGCTTCTGGGGCAGGAGCAGCACAGCATTCTCAGTCCGAGTGTTGAAGTGCCTTCACCAACGATCAGTAGGGTTGGGGCCCAGGTTGCTGGGAGTGCAGTGCTTTACTTCCTGGTGTCTGGCCTGCGTCCGCCGCGCGAGAAACCATCCAAGCCTTGTCAGTACAACACAAGCGATCAAGAAGCTTCCGTTACAGCCGCAGCCGCCATGCCTAGCGAGGGGCGGCCAGCTGCAGACGCCTCACCAACATGCCACTTTGCTGGACCCCTGGAGCAAGTTCGGTGCAACACTGAAGAATGCACTCCTCGATGCCATAAATGAAAAGGGTGCTACTGCACACACACACACACACTGACTGACTGACTGACTGGCACACTGGGCATTCCCTTGGTCATGACAGATCTGCCCCAGCTGAGAGGCGCCTCCGAGCCAGCTTCGCTTGGTTCGTAAGCTGACCTGTCTTGCACGAGGTAGCAGTTCACTGGCAATCATGGCCTGGCATAGTTTCAGTCCGAGTCAGGCTCGTACCCTGCATAGGAGCTGGCGGCGTAGATGCAGGAGCCCCCTGTCTGCCTGCAGCCATGTCTGTCGGAACTTCCAGACAGTAGAACAACGATGGCCATCAGCGAGCATGAAACTAACAAAAGTTCGCTGAGCCTGGCGGTCGTGTTGTGTGCATCGCGTCGGAGTGCTGACATCAACTGGCAACGAAAGGGCTGACATGTCATGTGCTGGACATACGACGCGTTGCAGCAACTGCATCAGGCAAGCCAAAGGAAGCCTGTTGAAACCTCTCCCAGTTAGATCCCCAGCAAAGACGTTGTGGTGAGCCGGGAGCACCGAAGCAAACTTCATGGTGCGCGCAGACAGATGCTTGTTGATCAATCGGAGGAACCTGGGTCGGAGATTTCGCGAATTCTTGGCCGATTCAGTGGTGGCAGGAGCTGCTGATCCGAATTTGCTTGACCCCAACACTCCAGGAACACTTGAAGGGTTTTGGGAAGTGGAAGCCTCGGTCTCGCTTCTGGGACATTCACATGAATGTGTCTGTGGCTTCTATTGCTTGCATCTTTCCTGAAACTCAAGAACTAGCGGTCTGAGTCGGACACTCACTCTCGGGATGACTGATATCCACGCCTTCCATCTGAATGTATCCAGGATTGCGGACTCCCAACATGCTTTAGGAGCGGCCATCTGGCACACAGGATGTATCCTGCCTGTGCCCAGTAGCCGCTGCATATGCCCCTGCCGACAGGCAAAGGGAAGTATCAGATGGACTGGCAAGAAATTGGCCAGGTCCTGTCACCTGAAACGGCTACACGGCTACACTTCTCGCAGCGTCTTTTCACTACTCCTGTGGTGGCTTTGGTGGAAAAGCGAGAAGAATCCGCGTCAGCTACATCCGTCAGCGAACAAGCGAAACAAAGGGTAGTCACGACGTATGCACTAGCTCGAAAAGCAGACTGGAAAGAAGCACCTCTACGGCAGGCCCCTACTGCGACATGGCCTCCTGGAAAACTCGATTGCAAGAGATCATACAAGATCTGAAGTGCATGCAAGATTGCCTCATCTCGTGCTGCGCGTTTCGAAAACTTCCAGCTTGATCAATGTAAGACTTGCAGCATAGCTTCCCTCAGTCTCAGACAGAACCGGCAACAAGTCACAAGACGCAGAGATCAAACGTAAACATACCGAACCTGGAAGGCCGGATTTGTCAACTGGTTGCAATCCTCGGCAGATGGGCGGTTTTATAGCAGCAACCAAGAGCTTTGAAGAGTCGTTTGCAGCAGATGCCGTGTGCTGTCCGGCGTGGGTGCGGGCGCTGCGGGCTAAGGCAGCAGCCCACTGGAAGAAGAGACGTTGAATTGAGGGTCCGCACCTGCGATGAGGCACCGCTCCGTCCTCCCTCCGTCTGCCCACACAGTTTGATGACACACAACACTGCAAGACCAAACAAGGATCTTTACGCATTGTGACACCAGTCCAAGTCGTGCCTCTGCCAGAAGGCCTCGTCGACAACCTGCCACAGATCCAACCGCTAGGCTGCGACTGCAACTGTGAGGCTTCCTCGCCTCTGCATTGAGATCTTGGGCTTGCAAGGCCTGGCGAGAATGGTCTCACGCTATGGGCTATTACCAGGTAACATGTGTCTAAATTGTTCACCATTTCCTGCTGATCCACGACCATTACCTTGCCAGAAATTACATCATCTGAAAACTAAACAAATTGAGTCCTGTGAAAATCCAAACGAACTCATTCCATGTCGTCCACCATGACATGATACCATTAACCTTGAAATGAATTATTTGATGATATATCAGGCCCGTCAAGGCAGTCAAGGCACGCTTCTTTCCACAATCCTATTGATCCGCATAGCCCGAATTCTGAGTCGGCTTCAAGAAAAAGTAAGCATTCGGAACTCGTCGTCCGCTGCCTTCAAAGGCTGGTCTGGTCGCGGAGGGGCCTCTTTGGTCGGACTTGCCAGCCTCGGCGAAGGCTGCATCGCGGCGGGCCTGTGGTTATTGAATGGCTGGTGCAGGGATGCAAGACTTCTTGAAAGCCTCCCGAATACGTTGACCCTTGCTACAGTAAAATGCCAACAGTTCTCGAGGGACACACCAGAAAAAAATACTCGAAGCTTCCACGGCCGGTGTTGTACTGAGCTTCAGCGACTAAATCAATGTTCCAGATTGTGTCCGGCAGGGTACGCTTGACCTCTTATGGGCTTGGCAGTGACTTCTGGGTGTAAACCAAAACAGCATAGGCTTGCTCTTCGTCTTCATGATGATTGACTGACAAAGGTAGTTACATGCTGATGCCACGATGCACAGCAACAACACACGTTGGGAGCTCACGCGGCGACCATGCAGAAGCCCATGCACGTGGTGCTAGCTTTCTTGGACCAGTCTAGCACTGACTTAAGACTGCTTCTAGGGCCGACCTGATTGAGAACCACACAGAAGCACCCTTCGCTGCAGCAGGAACCTTGTCCAACCAACAGGCTTGCCTCTCATCGGTCGGGCTCATACCCGAAGGCGACGTCGGAAATGGGAAGTGTGAGCTTCCTGCAGCATAGCATTTCTCAGATGAAGCTTCTAGCATCTTTGTCAGGGACCCGCAATGTACAACTTCAAGCTCCATTTTACTCGCGCCCGAACGAGCTTCCTCACCTGCCAAAGAGACCCCACCTCCTGGTCTTGGTCCAGCATCGGTTGCAGCCGTATTCTGCAATTCAAGGTCAGCGGGGATCGACTCGACTCACACGCTTAGCACGGCTGGAGGAGGGGTCTTAATTCACAGCACCTATAGCAATAAATACGCGAAAATGCCCCCAATCCCCCCCCACAAACACCGACATGGACTGAAGGATAGCATGCAAACCCAGGTCGCTGTCCAAGACAGGATGGCAGCACAAACAAACGACAGGACCTGCAAGGGGTCCGGATAGCCAGATGATGTCCGCACGGCATCCTCCACCATGTCTCCTTCGACAAGCTCACAAGTGAGCTACCCGAGACACGCCGGCTTCCGTCCGAGGATGTCATGGCAAAAATTGCGAGATGCAGAGCGATGACCGCTCGCCTCTGCTGACGCCGTAGCCTGCCAGTGCCGCTGCTGAGGCTGGCGCTTCGTGCCTGCAGGCCCGCCCATGACCGATGAGGACACTGAAGACACTGAACTTCGATTGTCTCACACGACGCAAGAGCATTGTGCTTTCTCGCCGTCCCGAATCGAGAAAAGAGTAGCTTCTTGGCCGTGCCTTGCGTTCCAGACCTGCTCTCTCTTGGCCCCCGACGTCTCGTTGTCTCCTGGCGCCTGCAACGCCTGGCCACGTGCCAGGTCCAATCACAAAGGACCACCAGGTGTCTGACTGGTTTGGACGCTGGCTGATTCTCTGCACCTCCATGAGTGGAGCATAAGTGAAGCAGCCCTTGCCTTGGGTCACCGATGGGAAGAGGCGAAAGCAAGACGGCCGGCGGACTTGACACGAGCCATAGACCCAAATTGCCAGAACCTTTGCACTGCTGATAAGATACCACCAGCCTACCACTAGCCGACCCAAGATCCGACTGTTCCTCCACTCAGCCCCACATTTCGGCAGAACATCACGACTACCTTCTGATTACATGACAGGTATTCAAGAGTTGACTACACACCCGGCACGCCGTGCAAAAAGCATCCAAATAGAATTGCTTCCAGGCAAATCCCACATCGGCTACTACTTGGCCGTCGACCTGTATTTAGGGACCTGGTGTGCTTTGCCAGCCATCCTCGCTATCTCAGCTTTTGCAGCTCACGACCAGTCGCTGAAGGGCTCCACGAAGTCCATCAGAAAGCAAGCAGCATCGCTGTCCTCCTGCAACTGCAACAAAAGAAACCGTTTTTATTTTGGTCCAACGGCGGCTCTGTGCCCTCATCCCGCAGGTCCGACAGCTCCAGCTCTTGAAGAAGCTCTCGCCTCAGTGCGAGAGACATCTGGAAAGCTGGTTGCCAAATCAAGAGAACGTCTGGCTGAACCACGTGCTGACAGCTGTGTGGTTCCCCCGCTAATCAATTTTCCTCGACTGCTACCTGTTGGCGCCATTCTACACCTCATCCTACACCTAGATACGATTACCTGCATGTCAAGGTGATTCAAAGTGTCCAGTCTCCTGCAAGCTCAGAGTGCTCCGCGGTTGCTATGCATGCCGTGATTGAAAGTGAAAACCTCTCTGTCATGCTGTGCTACTCGCAAAGGCCGCTGCGTGTCCCTTCCAGGAACGACAACCCTTGAAAGCAACCTCAACACGGATGAGCGAAAATCGGATGAGAGCCCTGCCAGCAGCCAACTGGCAGCACAAAGTCCCCCTGCGAACACATCTAACACATCTCGTGGGACACATTAGATGGAGAGCTGTGCATGCAATGCCGAGCAGGCACTTTCCCCGTACAGCAACGGCACAGGAACATCTGCAAATGCGGGGGCCGAGAATGGCAGACAACACAGATCAGTTCTTCGTTGCCGAAACAGGCTGGCTGGGCCGTGACCCATGGCCGTGAACTGGGGGCACCCTTGTGGGTCGTGCCCCTACTGGTGCAGTGCTTCGTTTTTTCAAGCCCGGCCTTTGCGGGCACTTGTCGCATCCGAGTCACCAACATCCCAGGCACATTCGTGAAGCTTGCTCGAATTTCCGGTCATGACGTCTTGGTACTGGACATCATGTTGGCACTTCTTGAACAACCTCTGCATAAGGCGCTTCTCACGCTGGTATGCAAGGACTGGGGTCGCTTGGAATGGGCACGCATTTGGGTTCTTGCGCCCGCCAAGTTCGAATTCGAGTGAGGTTGAGTTCGCGTTGAGAAATGAGCTTGTTGCTTAGGGGAGAGGGGAGGGTTAGGGTGCAGGGAAGGGGGGTTGAGATAGGTACGACAGTCTGCAGCAATAATGCTGCTGTCACAACAGTTGCGTTTTGCGTTTTATCGTGCCTTGCTTGACTGCCCGTGAAGTCTGAGTCCGGGTTTTACACGTGCATTCCAGACAAAGGGCGCTTGGCTGCACATGGGGCACGGGAGCAAGAAGGCATTGATGCTCGTGATGCTCATGAGACGTTGTGACCATACCATTCGGATTATCCCATGCTATGTTCGAGATCACTCTGCGAGGTGCTGTCTAAAAACCTGGATTGATCCCATACCACTTCCCCGATCATTCCGTGACGCGTGCTCTCTCTCTCTCTCTCTCTCTCTCGCTGATGTCCTCTAAGCGCCATCAGGTTCCACATTCCTTTTGACAGCCGTGAGTGAGGCCACACATCCTGGGGTCGCCTCATGCTACAACACCAAGTATCTCTTCCCGCCCAAGATGAAGGGCCAGGCAAGTCATTGTTCACGGCTTTCTTTTGCATCGTGGGCTCAGGCCGGCTGCAGGCGTTATCGTAGCATATGTCACTAGGCTTTGCGAACCATGGAGTCCGTAAGCAGCGGTTTGGCTGGTGGCCTGGAAAGTTGGTCCGGACCTAAATCAGGGCCTGAAGGGGATCTACCAAGCTGAGCTCTCAACTCAAGTGTTTCACAGTTTCCACTGCAACTGGCGTCCGTGATTCTGAACTCTGCTGTTGCCCGGCCTTTTCATCCATGGACCTTATGCAAAAAGAACAACCAAACATGACTGAAGACAGACTAGGACTACAGAAATTACAGCTGTCATTTCCGACCTCACCCTGATGTTTAGCAGACAAACTTCTACTATTTTATTGCCACAGAGGTTGCGACTGACAGGTGCCAGTGACTCTACGGCCAATGGCAGAAAGGAATGCCACGTTAATTACGCGGACCGCTTGAATCAGTCACAGTCCGCCAGATTTCGGAGCATGAACTGAATGACACCCCGCCGCAGCGATACCGCATCACCCTCGTCACACTTTGTCCTAGTCCTAAGTAGTCTCTCGGCCACGCGACTGCAGCACGCGACATGCTGCCAGCAAGAAGTCCTGGTGACAAGGATGAGAACGAGCGGGGCTGAGCAACAGCAATGTTCAACTCCTCCACCCAGCTGCTACGGGACTCTTTGCGCTATTGCCGAGTTCATGCTTCGAATGGCAGCACAGAGTCTTAACTCTAGGAGGGACTCCATTCGATGCTCTAGAGTCACCAGAGTCACCATATGCCTATGCTAGAATGATGGCCCTGCACCTCCTCGGCTGGAGTCATCGCAGCTGCAGCCCCGCTGCAGGCTATGCGTCGACTTAAGACTTTCGCTTCTTGCGACACAAGCGTCGAAAGTTTCGCTTCATCAACAAGTCTTGAATCCGATGCGTTGCTGCCCTGGTTCTCTCGTGGAGCGCGATAGTGACCTTCTTCTGCTAGCTGGAGCAACACCGGGAAGGATCACCGGCACGTTCAGCTTTTATGGTCATCACGGGTGTCGCTGCAATCCCGTTGTTGCATGCGGGCTACATTCGGCACCGCTGGAGATGTCGCACAATACAGGATGATCTCTGTTTACCCCTCTTCTCAGCTCCCCGAAACAGAGCCCCCAAGTTCTGTTGGGCCCAGCATCAGTATGTCATCACTTCAAGCATGTCTCCAAGCGTCGCAGATCTTTCTCCAAATTCGCAAGGCTAGCGATGATCTGCATGCTACAGCGTAGCTCTTGCCATCATACAAGGCATCCACGAAAGTGCTGGCACGTCTCAAGCGGAGCGCCAGACCTTGGCAAAAGGCTTTCTCTGGTTGACCACGGGGGCATGGCTGGGCGTGTCTGAGGGGAGCACCAGGCACCAGCCAAGGCTGCCGACCGGTCGCCAACGCTTCGCCGCTTGGCCGCTTCACTGATACTGGCCTCGCGCACGCGCGCGCGCGCGGGTGGAGTCTGCTGACGGTGAAGTGACATTCTCGCAGGACCACTTGCTCAATAACCCTGCAAAGACATCCGCTTAAACAGCAGTTTCACGGTGACGAAGCCAGGCTTCTTGTCTGCTCGCTTTGTCGACTTGATCCACATAGATGCCGCGCTGCGGCGACTAGGTCGAGCTGTCAGGTTCCTTGATTGGTCTCTGCAACACAAGTCCCAAAAGGTCTGGCAAAGCCCCAAAGGCGAAGGACACCTGGCCTGCGGCTTCGGCAGCCTGGCAAAGCACGCCGTCAGGGGATGTCAAAGTGCTGAAGGCGCCGAAATTGAAAGAAAACTTCACCTGCTCTTTGCGGCTCCGCAAGCTGCTCAACTTGTCTGTACAAGTTGCTCATCCCAGAAAAGATTAAGCGCTGCACGGGGTTGCCCCGAGCACTCGGGAGATCCTTCAAAAAGGTCCATGCTGTGCACAACGGCACGTGTGCGCCGCCTTCCCTTCGGGGAGGCTTGGCCACACCATCATGCAGACAGCTTAGATCACTTCAGCAGCTGAAGTAACTAAATAGGTTGACACCGAGGCGAGTTGCTTGAGCTGCAGCTCGACTCGCTGTGTCTGAGCAGCTTCGGTGTGAAGCCATGAGCCGTACAACTATGTTTCTGGCTGGGCACCTCCAAGAAACGACATCAGCACCAACTAGCTTCGGGCAGGAAGTAAGCAAGTATGATATGAAGAGGACTGTTGGGACTGCCACGAATAAAGTGGACTGCTGCGTCTGTTCTAGCTGCTAGCTAGCTCCCATCCGGGCTTGGTCCCAGTTTCCCGAAACCACTAACAACACAGGCTCGCAGCTCCGCAGAACTGCAAGATCGTCCAATCACAGTTCGGGCCATCACGAGAGCTCGTCAGCAGCCTCAGACGGCGGCAAGATCCATGCTCTCGCGGAATGGCATGCCAAGCTCATCCACTTCTGGCGCTCATGCCTCCGCGCTTCCTGGAAGGATGCCCATCAGCTTGCTCTCCCGCCTGCAGCTGTGAAGCTCAGTCCCCCGCTCCTTTGCTCCCTCCCAAACCGTGAGGCGCCTCACTTCGCCATGCAGGGGCAGGACACTGTGGGTGTGGGTGAGTTCACACGGTTCCTACATAAACTTCTTGGCACCAGGGATCCCCTACGACTCTGTCCAAGCTGCAGAGTCAGAGTCTGAGACCTGTCGTCTGTGGCCACGCTCCCCACGCCTCCAAAGGCAATCCTACCCATGTGTTCACTGCTCGCAGATGACGCTAAGGGTGACAGGACCAGAAAAGCTGGCAACAGCTTATAAGCCTGTGGCAGAGCCAGTGCAATGAAGCAGAAGCTTGAGGGCGCCCAGTTGCGAGTGCCTTGCCGCATGCAACAAGAAAACCAACGGCGGCTTTATTTTCTGGCAGGCTACGTCATTGACAATGCTTTGCCTGCAGAACAACCGAACTACGTGGAAACAATCGGGTTGCAGGATTTCGATGGTCCCATCGATGTAATCGAATTGGTTCGGTGCCCACTGGACCTGAGCCAAGCACAACGCAATTCGGTCACTCCACGGAGCAGGAGTACACAAATCACAAGGAGCCTTTCAAGCCATGACTGGCTTCACCCCATCATGCAAGCAGGGGGCAGCAACTTGGGCGAAGCTGAAAAGGCTCCTTAAGACAGCGGCAAAAGCACACATGAAATTGGATGATTCAGTACATGACAGCGACATGGCAAAGAGCCTTGAACACTTGCGTGAGGCGTTGATACATTGATACACGCAGAGCTCGAAGGATCGGTTGGACAGATCCCGCCGACAGCGGGACTGAATCCAACCAGAGTTCTTGCAGATTCAGACAGACAACTGCTAACTCAACTCTTCGTCCAGGTATCAAAGGTAAGTCATGTCTTCACGCAGCCGGCATTCGCGTGCCGAGCAAGGAGCGAGCATTCACGACAAGACGACAGGCACTTTGTGAAGGTGAGGCTCGGCTCTGCCGTAGGGTCAACGTGGCGTGCAGCCTGGATCAGTCCAGCTGGTTGTCTCTGTCTATGTATGCATGTGCCAGCACGGCTGTCGGTGCAAATGGGTACCTGTTCAATTTACTCTATGTAGCATTGGCTCTGCCGATCTATTCGTCTCCTGGCTTAAGCTTCAGCCTAAGCAGATCGGTTGCCGAGCAGCTTGCTGACCACGTTCTGGTCCCCACGTCAAACTATCAACTTTGGACTTTAGAGACTTTAGACTCGACAAGACCAAACTGTGCCTAAGCATCCTGGAAGTCTTTGCTTCTCCCTGTGATCCCTGAAAGCGTTTTGGTCTTCCTCGATGGCCTTACCGAAAGACAAGTGTTCGCAAATCACCCCAAAAAGTCTCGATACAAAGCGAGAGAGCACAGCCTCCAGAACTTCGCGCAGGATCTCTGTCCCTGTATTGGGAAACAGCGCCGCAAGAGGCATTCCTTGGCAGATCAGAAAGCTTGGGAAACAAGGGCAATATCTCTTCCCTTGGAAAAGCTGAAGGCGGACGAGTTGCCAACCAAGTTGGCCGCCGGAATTGACGCGCACTCCACGACCCAAGCTGCCAGGTCCAGCTGGAGGCAGATTATTCCTCAACAAAATGGCCCACAACACAAGCATGCACAACAATCAGGAATGATGACAACAGTAGCAAAACTAGGACTCAAACCCGTCTGCGCATGGCTAATTGCCCAACTCAGCCCTTACACTTATGTACGCGCTGCCAAGTACATGGGTACAGGCACCAAGGACAGCAAGCTATATAGCTTTAACACCTGGTTCGGCTTCATTGAGGCGACATCTTGCCGGTCATTGATCATGGGAGCTTGTTAGCAGGTCAGAATTGTGAGTTTCATGAAATCCTCAGGCATTAACAGCTGCCGTGCTTCATGAAACATGTCAGCTGCTCACACCGGTCTCTGGTGAATCTCGTCTTCTCCTTCCTGCTTTATTTCGTTAACCTAGATGAAGGTATGTGTGTGTGTGTGTGTCCAACTCTGTTTCCAAGAGACGTGAGTGAGTTAGGCAGCAGGGGGCCGGTGCTCTCCCTGGGGGTCACCGGCCAACGAAGACACCCCCAGGGAGGGGTGCAAACGTACCTGCAAATCAGTAACCCTAGAGCAAGATTCGTACGAGCTTCTGATTGCATGTTCTGACTTTCCCTTGCAGCTTCTGACTTTCCCTGACAGCTGCTGACTTTCCCTGACAGTATGCACCGACAGATCAGACCTGCGACACGATGTGTCAAGTGTGCTTCACAACGGCATTCCCTATGGGCGCCGTGTCTCCCAGAGGTAGCTCTGGCGCTGACTTTCCCGATTGACTGTATAAGCATTGGATGACTTTCCCTGATTCTATATCCGTGCTTGCAAGCTGACTTTCTCAGTGAGTCTTTCCCAAATGCCTTTGCCGAAACCTGAATGCTGACTTTCCCACTGACTTTCTATGATCTGATTGACTTTCCCGAATCTGACTTCACCGCTGACTTGTCGCAGGTCTTCGGCTGCAAGTTGAGTACATGAGCTGTACTTTTGGTAGTTGCTGATCAGTTTGCAAGTGCTGCAGTTTGAGACTTCGTTCAGCTTTGGCACCAGGTGTTACCTTGGTCAGTGACTCTGCGATCGGCAAGAGCAGTGCAAGTGAGTGCGTGTCGTCGTGCAAGTATTGTGCAAGTGTAAGTTTGGCAAACGTTTTTCTTCTGTGGTCAATGCGTGCATGCCTACATGCGTTCGGAGTGCGCATCTCGCTGCTTTACTGCATCGCAAGTGTCGTGCTAGTGCAAGCTTGAAAACGTTTTTCTTCCTTGGTGAGTGAGTGCATGCCTACATGCTTTCGGAGTGCGCATCTCTCTGCCTTACTGCATCGCTTGCTTGTAGCGTTTTGTTTGAACAGAAGCGAAGCTGGTGGAACGAGCTGTGGTTTCTGGTGGCCCGGTGGAGCATTGGAGCTGCTGGTGGTGGAGCTTTGGTTTCTGGTGGTCTGGTGGCGATCTGGACAAGTGAGTGCGCATTGTCATGCAAGTGCTGTGCAAGTGATTGCATCGTCATGCATGTGCTATGTACGTGAGTGCTTCCTGTCAGTAAGTTCGAAAGAGCAATGAGCCCGGGAGGGCTTGTGTGTGTCCACCCCTGTTTCGAAGGGTAGGTAAATCTGAGTCGAATGAGCAGGGGGCACTCGTCCGACTTTTCGTCAGACTTTGCAGTGTCCGACCAAGCTGGAGTGATTGGTTCAGTACATGGTTTTGCTTGCTTGTGCGACTCGTACACTGCAGTTTCGCGACATGAGTGCGGTTTGCATATGTTGCAATGCGTAAACTCTGCAGTTTCGTGACATGAGTGCGGTTTGCATATGTTGGAATGCGTAGACTCTGCAGTTTCGTGACATGAGTGCGGCTCGCCAATGTTGGAATGCGTAGACTTCAGTTTTGTGTCATCAGTGCGGTTCGCCTACGTTGGAATGCGTAGACTCTGCAGTTTCGTGACATATGAGTGCGGTTCGCCGATGTTGGAATGCGTAGACTCTGCAGTTTCGTGACATGAGTGCGGTTCGCCGATGTTGGAACGCGTAGTCTCTGCAGACTGGTGACATGAGTGTGGTTTGTTTATGTTGGAATGCGTAGACTCTGCAGATTTGCGACATGAGTGTGGTTTGCTTATGTTGGAATGCGTAGACTCTCTGACATGAGTGTGGTTCGCCTATGGTGGAGCGCATAGACTCTGCAGTTTCGTAGACTATCTGCTTTGAGACGCTGCTGGAAATGATTGCTGAGAGTATTCCTGCCATGCAGCCCTATCCGATTGAATGACATAACGGAGAGTCTAGCAGTGCAGGTTTGCCGTGCAGCAAGTGTGAGCGCATACTCGTTTTGTAATGGCAGACGAGGTCATTGATTGCAGTCTCCTGTGCATGGACTTTCTGTAGAGTGATGGTGGATGCCCAATTGCTTTGCATCCTCGGTTTTGAACAATAAGAAAGCCCAGCACGATGCTGTATATTGGCTCTACAAGCGTCTCAGACTCTGCAGTTTCGTGACATGAGTGCGGCTCGCCAATGTTGGAATGCGTAGACTTCAGTTTTGTGTCATCAGTGCGGTTCGCCTATGTTGGAATGCGTAGACTCTGCAGTTTCGTGACATATGAGTGCGGTTTGCCGATGTTGGAATGCGTAGACTCTGCAGTTTCGTGACATGAGTGCGGTTCGCCGATGTTGGAACGCGTAGTCTCTGCAGACTGGTGACATGAGTGTGGTTTGCCTATGTTGGAATGCGTAGGGCGTAGACTCTCTGACATGAGTGTGGTTCGCCTATGTTGGAATGCGTAGATTCTGCAGTTTCGTGACATGAGTGCGGTTCGCCGATGTTGGAATGCGTAGAGTCTGCAGTTTCGTGACGTGAGTGCGGTTCGCCGATGTTGGAATGCGTAGACTCTGCAGATTTGT